TCAATCAGAACCATAAAATGCTTGGCATTATTCTCTCATTAGAAATCTTAGGAAGCTATATCTTTATGGGCAAGGTAATAATCTGATCTGTACAAGAAGTCTGGCCTCTTCCATCACCCCCTTTCTTCTTTTTATTACTTTTGTTTCACCTTTGGACAAAGAATATAATTTTTGCTTGCACTATTTCCATATAGAGTTGTGGTAACAAACAAAAATGTGGATGCTCTTTTTAAAGTAAAAAACATATTGAATGATTGCTATGTTGCAGAGTACAGATTATGTATTCTGCAGTAGGACAGGGGTTTTTTTTAGTGAATAGTTTTGGGTTGTTTTTTTTTTAAGAAAGTCACTTTTACAATTTTTCTTCGTTTATGGTCAACATTACAGGTGAAACAACTCCTTAATTTTCAACTACTGCCCAAGCAAACTGTATTGAGGATGATACAAGTCCATTACCCAATGAACTGTTCTGAGCCTTCAGCACTTGGGAAATGATAAAAACATCTGAGAGGACTATTTTAATTTGATTGTGTCATGTTTGTTCTTGTTTGGAAGATCCTCTTCTAAAATATTTCAACAACAAGTTCTACTTTCTGAGTAACTGGCAGCCCCCACTTCTACTTTCCATGGGGTATTATTTTAGGGCAAGGCAGGTTACTCAAATGTCACATATGTGGCAATGTGGGAAAGGGCTTGTTCTATTTTAGAACAAGTAAAGCAGCAGAGTAGATACCTAAAGGAAAGGTTAAGAGTAGATAATAAGGCTACATACTACTTCCTAATCCCAATTTATGCTGGGGTGAAATCAAACCTTAAAGCGATCTTTTTCATTGCCTGATTTGGATTCTATTTGATTTCCAGAGATCATTATCTCATCTGGGAAGGCACCTCATGCTCTCGTGCCACTCAACAGTGAAGCCCAAGGGAAAGACTGTATATAATAGTAAATCTGTACCTTGTAATCAGATAGCTTCAAAATTCCTGTGAAGTGGACACTGGGATCAATTTGAAATGCAGGAATAGGGTGCTGAATAGGATAGCCATAACTTCTCTTTTACAGAAGTCTATCCTGGAATTAAAGAGCTATGTAGTCCAAGTTTGGTTTAACAATAAAGGATTTTGAAATCTCCAGCCAACAATTTTATTTATTTTATTTATTTATATTTCAAATTTGTCACTGCCCAGCTCACTGTGGAGTGACTCTGGGCGGTTACCAATTACTATCTGGGCAACAGATTGAGCAGGTATACTAGCCACCTGGTCATAGTCTTCTCCAGCATTTAGTGAGATGTAATATATTTCAATTTAATTTACAGTAATTATTTCTAAATTTTTATCTAAAGTATACATATACCTTAATCTGTGAAAACTTTACACAAATTATAGTTCAATTCTGTCTTCTTTTTTGGTGAAGATGGCTATCCTATCAGAATACAGACAACATTTTCTTGCCAAGATTCCTCTAAATTCCTCTCCCTACCCAAGCTGAAGGGCAGGGAATCATACTGAAGATTAAAAAAAAAAATGGGTAGGGAAGACAGTTTTTAAGAAAGGGGGTTATTCCAGTCTCACCTGCCCACTCTGCAGTTTAATTTGTATATTTCATTCTCTACTTTAGGGAGGGAACTTGACACACCCCACATTCTGATGCAGGGATTGGGCCACTAGAATGTCTAATTTGCTTGCCAATCTCCTGTAACTCTGCAGCCTGAGCACACAGTAGGGAATTTTGGATCAATGTGAACATGGGAGACAGAGAATGATTCTTCCCCCATCCATGTGTTGACATCTCCACATATTTTAAAGGATTGGAAGCACACCAAAATAATAAATGTCTCTCAGCCCTTCAGGATAAACCAGGTCAGGAAACACACATTACGTAAAATACTGGGAACTCTATTTTACTGATATAGGCTATAATAACAGAATCTTGAAAGCCTGACAACATTTCTTCTTCCCTTCCTCTTATATCAAAGAGAGTCATTTATATCTTATATCAAAGAGAGTCAAGTCTTGAGTTTCTTTCTCACACATCCCTGTTTTCCTGGGCTAAGTTCATGTTTTCCTAATAGTTGCTGCATATTTTCTTTAATCACTTTAAATTTTCTATTCATGTGGCTTTGGATAGAAAACATAAAGCAGTTGAAGAAAACATGTGACAAGTATTAAACCAAAATGAAGCAGGAAAACAACTTATCAATTTCTGTCACTCCAATTATTTCTTCATAGCTAACACTGTCTTCACACAACCAAAACGATGCCTGTGTACATGGACTTCACCAGATGGAGTACATAAGAATCTAATTAACCATACTATTGCTAAAAGGAAGTAAAGCAGCTCAATTATAGCACCAAAAATATGGCCAGGTGCTGACTGTGGATCACAAGCTGCTCATATGCAAGTGCTAAGTTAAGCTAAAGAAGAAGAAAGCAAACCAGTTTCCACAATATGATTTTGAGCATACACCCAGCATTTTCAAGAACATCAGGAATCACTTTGAAATCCTGAACCTCATTGACAGAGAACCAGAGGAACTAAGAAATGAATTTGAAGAAGTCATTAAGGAGGAATTTGAAAAGATATGGCCAAAGATGAAGAAACCAAGAACCAAGCCAAGAAAAACAAAAATCTCAGGAAAGAACTTAGCAAAGAGTTTCAGACAGCTGTTAGAAGAGACAAGAAGCAATATTACAACAACATCTGTAAAGATATGGAAGATGGAAACAGACATGGAAAAACAAAGTCTTCCAAAAAATCTCTGAACTCAGAAGGAGGTTCCAGCCTCAAATTGGTATAACAAAGGATGCCAATGCACAGACCATAACTGATTCAAAGATCAAACAAAGATGGAAGGAATGTACTTAAATACTGTACAGTAGAGATGTCAACATCGAAGAAACTTTAGAAGATACTCCCTATTTACAAGAAGCTCTAGTACTAGAAGATGACATTAGATCAGCACTCCAGTCATTATCAGGTCAAGAGGCTACAGGAACTGATGGAATACCCACAGAAATATGGCAAGCAACAGAAGAAGAATCAGTAAAGGTTCTAACCAAGCTATGCCAGCAAATTGATACAGTGGCAAACATATTGTCAATCCACATTCCAGTACTACAAGAAAAAGATTTCATAGAGTGTGCAAATTGTTGTAAAACATCCTTATTTTCACTTGCTAGCAAAACAATGCTTAGGATCATCCAACACAAATTAAAGCCCTACATGGAAAAAGAAATGCCAGAAGTTTAAACTGGTTTTTTTAAAAAGCCAAGGAACATGAGATATTATTGCTGATACACATTGGATAACTGAAAAAGCCAAAGAATACTATAAAGAAGTCATAATGTACTTTGTTGATTATAGAAAGGCCTTTGATTGTATCAGTCACATCAAGCTATGGAACGTGCTTAGAAAAATGGGAATCTCAAAACATCTCATTATCCTCATGAGAAACCTATACACAAGTCAGGAAGCTACAGCACAGACATAATGTAGTAAAGAGACTGATTCCAGGTTGGCAAAAGGGTGAGACAAAGCTGTATACTTTCCCCTTATTTATTCAATCTACTGTACAGTATATGCTGAATATATATTAAGGGAAGCTGGATTGGAAGAAGATGAATGTGGTTTTAAACCTGGAGGAAGAAATATCAATAACCTGCTCTGTATTGATGACACTACTCTGATAGCCAAAAATGCAAAGGATTTTTGCAAATCCTGCAACTTCTAATAATCAAAGTCCTGAAGCACACTGAAAAAAATGGGACAAAATTAAATATAAAGAAGACCAAACTAATGACAACAGATACAAAATCCAGCCTTAGAATTGACAATGAGAATATTACAGTGGTAGATGGCTTCTGCCTTTTAGGATCAACCATCATCAGTAAAGGAGCAATCAGTCAAAATATACACCACAGGCTAGTGCTTGGCAGAGCAGCCATGAAGGCCTTTGAAAAGATATTCAAATGCCATGATATGTTATACCTACAAAAATCAGAATTGTGCAAGCAGTGATATTCTCTGTGACTCTCTATGGCAGCAAAAGTTGGACTGTGAAGAAGCAGGATAGAAAGAGTATTGACACTTTTGAACTTTGGTATTGGAAAAGAATCCTGAGGATACCATGGATAGTTAAGAAAACAAACAAATGGATCGCCAAATTAATCAACCCAAAGTTCTCACTCAAGACACAAATGCCCAGGCTCAGATTATTGAGACACATTATGCAAAGACCTAGCTCTCTAGAGAAGGTTTTAATGCTGGGGAAGAGAAGAATAGGATGACCAGAAGGAAGGTGGATGAACTCAGTTACAGTGGTGATGTGTGTACCATTGAAAGACCTGTAGGACCAGGTTAGGGACAAATTGTGATGGAGAAAATCTACCTATGTGGTCGCTAGGAGTCGATACTGACTTGATGGTACCTAATCAATCAATCAATCAATCAATCAGTTTTCTTCAAGGCCATCTCTGTACTCCTCTACAATGTCTCACATAAATGTGGTCTGAAATCAATGTTAAGCAAATAAAAATAATTCAGCTGTATCTGATCATAGGCTATCTAATGCAGCATCTTGTTTCTACAATGACCCAGCAGAACTTGATGGGAGACTCATAAGAAGGTTTGATTGCTGTAGCATTCTCTTAATTATGTTCCCTAGAAATTTGTATCAAGAGACTTGCCATTTCCATTATTGGATCTGCATTACATAGACATACTTAATACTAGTCATTGCTAACCTTTCTTTCCATGAATTTGTTTATGATCTTTTAATGATGTAGTCATCACCACAGTTTGTGGCAACCAGTTCTATAGTTTAATTATGTGTTTTGTATGAAGTACAGTTTCTTTTATTTGCTCTGAATGTGGGGTTCTCAAATTAGTAGTGAACATTTGTTAAACTAGAAAAAAAATTCTGAGATTGTATGGGATTTTATGTATATGAATTTATATATCAGTTCTCCGAGATTCATGCAATCCATTTTCCCACTTAAAGGTATAATATCTGTATATCTCAAGAAGGACAGCATGGGAAATCTGAGTCTCATAGCCTGTCCACAAATAGATAACCAGAATTCCTTGGATAATGCCTCAAAGGAGTGTTCAGTGACAATATGGCAGAAACTCAACCAAGCAAACACCAGCAAGAATGACCACACATTTGTCAAATGGAATCACAGCCCACTCACAAATGTCATTGAAAGCAGGTAAGCAATCCATAGCCAGCAATGCAATACAAAAGAAAAAAGCTTAATTTTCTGGTTTCCATCCACTAAATTCCTGACAAAAATCCCATATTTATCTATGGGCCTTGCCCCACTACTGAGTTCTAGGGCTATCCAACCATTTTGAATTGCCAGAAAACTATCCTAGTATGAATATTTTTAAATAATTTGTTAGATTTATATTTATGTGAATGTCACATTTATATAGCCACCCATCTCACACAAGCGATTTATTTATATTGTACCTTTTCCTCCATTGCCAGTCCCAATCCTGCTTGTATTACCTCTGTTTCCAGCAGGTTACAATTCGTAGCATTCTAATTTACAATGAATGCTGCAGTTTAGCGCCCACATTCTTGACAGTAAGTCAGACTGAACTCAGTGGGACTTACTTCTAA